AATGACTTGTATTCCTACAAATTTGACTTAGTTCTCTACATATTTTAGAAATGAGGCCCTTATCAGAGATACTGGTTATAAAAATTCTTTCCCAGTTTTCTGCTTCCCTCCTAATTTTTGTACTAGCTTTGTTTGTGCAAAAACTTTTCAATTTAATGTAATCAAAATTATTCATTTTGTATTTCATAATGTTCTCTATCTCCTGTTTGGTCATGAATTCTTCTGTTTTCAATAAATCTGACAGGTAAACTATTCCTTGCTTTCCCAGGTTGCTTATAGTATCAGCCTTTATATCTAAATCGTGAGCCCATTTTGACTTTATTTTGGTATATGGTGTGAGATTTTGGTCTATGCCTAGTTTCGAGCAGGCAGATTTTAGAAAAACTTGAAAAGACTTACATGAACTGATGCTATGTACACAGCAACATCAAGTTTGATAGACCTAGCCCTTCTCAGCAATGATCTAAGACAATTCCAAAAGACTCAAGAAAGAAAATGATATCCACATTCAGAGAAAGAACTATGGAGTCTGAATGCAGATCGAAGCATACTATTTTCTCTCTTTTTTTCTTTCTTTCCTGTATTTTTTCCCTTTTGTTCTGATTCTTCTTTCACAACATAACTAATGTGGAAATAGGTTTAATATGATTGTACATGTATAGTCTATATCAGATTGCTTGCCATTTTGGGGTGCGGAAGGGGAGGGAAGGAGGGAGAAAAAAATTTGGAACTCAAAATCTTACAAAAATGAATGTTTAAAAAAAAAAAGAAATGGTAGCTCAGAACTAGTAAATGGCAAACATTCCTAGGATCATAGGATTTGGAGCCAAAATGGACCTTTGAAATCATCTCATTTTATAAGTAACTGAGGGCCAGAGAGGGGAATTGTCTTGTCCAAGGTTACAAAGAGAATAGATAGCAGAGCCAGGGTTCAAATCAGCTTGGTCTAATTATTTAAATTCAAATGCCCTTTCCATTATACCATGCTGCCATACTGAATCCATATCTCTTAATTTCAGGCTCAAAGCTCTTTTCACTATATACACTGCAACTATTTTATTTTATAGATAAAGAAACTGGGGCCCAGAGGAGTATCCTATATAAAATACAGATGTTAACATATGGTAAAATGTTAATATAAAACGCCTCAAAGTAACTAATTGATGATTTTAAAAAGAAAGGCACTGTTAATTTAAAAAAAAGAAATCATTGGTAACCTTTGAATAGTTTCAGTGAAGTGACTGGGTCAGAAATCAGATTATAAGGAGTTGAAAAAGTGAGTGGATGGTAAGGAAATAGGGGCAGTTGGTATAGATCACTCTTTCTAGAAGTTTGGCAGTGAAAGGGAAAAAAGGTATAGAATGTTAACTTGGGGGTACAGGAGGTTGAAGTGAAGAGTTGTTTTTTTAAGGATAGGGGTAACCAAAGCATGTTTACAGACAGTGAAGAAAGAACCAATAGAGTGATTGAGCTTAGGGAGGGGACAAGGGAAGAATGGTCAGTGTTGAGGAGGAAAGAAGATGAGATCAAGGACACAAACAGAGGGCTTAACCTTGCCGAGAAGAAGGGCCACCTCAACCTAACAGGATAGATTAAGATGTAAAGAGATATTGAGATGCAGAATAGTGCAAATGAGGGACTCTATAATATATGGTATCGTTTTCCTTAGTGAAATAGGAAGTAAGGTAATAAACTGAGAGAGAAGAGCCTGGGAAAGATCAATCAAAGTTGAAGTTAGATAATATGAATTTGTAGTGGACCCAATCAGCCTAGTTATGTGACTTCCTCCAGCAACTTTCAGAACTCAGGAGCAGAAACAAAGAAATACTCCTTATCTCAGGAAAAAAAATTATACAATAAAACAAACATTTATCAAACACCTACTATATACAAAGCACTGTGCAAGGTGCTGGAAGCAATGCAAAATTTAGAGAAAATGTGATCCTTTCATGAAAGTTCAATGATCATCTCTCCTCAGATAACTTCTAAATTTATTCCTCCTCAGTCTCTCCCTAGAACTCTAGTTCTGAATCAAGAGCTGCCTGATGCACATATCCATCTATATGTCCAGTAACATCTCTTAAGCTGTATCATTCAGTATGCTCCAAGTGGATGTAATTTGTTCCCTCCAATTTATCAACAAAATTTCTCTCTCAGCTGTTCCTACCCTCAGAGTGCTCTATAATTCTTCCTCCCTCACTCTTTATTTCCAATCAGCTGTCAAGTAACTGATTCTACTCCTATAGTACTGAAGAGGTCTAGGGGTTTTGGGGTGCGGGGACCCCAAGATCGTGGTACCGGGCCCTGCCTGAAAGAATTCAACTCAAATATTCTTCAGCCAGAGGAAAAGTTTATTAGTGGTAAAACATAGGCTGGGTGACACCCGTAAGGACGAGCGGGCATGAGAGGTTCTCAGCCTTATTGGTCTGAGATTCTCAGCCAGGTGACGCCCATAAAGATGAGCGGGCATGAGAGGTTCTCAGCCTTGTGGGCCTGAGATTCTCAGCATCTGAATGAGGGCCAAGGTGGATCTTAAATACTAAAGTAACTTTGGGTGGCCAGAGAAGGGGGTTGGGTAAAGGGTCTAGGTAACAATTCTAATTGGGGAGGTCTGAGAGATTGAATAGACAATGGGAATAGATAATGGAGGAACAGGAAGGCAGAAGTTTGAAAGGCATCTGCACAAAATCAAGGTGGAGCTAGGACTTTCAAAAGGAGATAAAGGAAGGCCTTTCTGGGGCCTATAGACAAGAGGGAGCCTAAGGCTTTCAAAGGGAGGTGAGGGGAGTCGATTAGAAATTTGAAGGTTTAAGGGTTTTCTGGTCCTGTAGACAAATAGGAACCAGATTCTATTCAGGGCAAGGGTTGAAGGTGCATCTGAATAAGATCTAAAGGTAAGCTAGGGCTTTCAAGGGAGATGAGGGTCTGGGGCCTGTGAGTCAGATTCCCTTTGGGGCAAAGGGCGAAGATCTTGTCTTGGGCCCCGCCCTCATCAGTACCTCTAGTAATTATACCTTTTTCTTCAATAATATGACCACTAACCTAGTTCAAGACCTGATGCCTCTTAATTGAACTATTGTGATTAGCCTCACTGATTCTAATCTCTCTCCTTTCTAATCTGTCTTCCATAGGTGCAAAAATAATTCTCCTGCGACAAAAATCTGATCATATCACTTCCCTACTCCGAAACCTTCATTGGCTCCCTATTGTCCCTAGGATAAAATTAAACTACAGTACTCCTCCTTGGCATGTAAAACCCTTCATAATTTGACTCTAAACTATTTTTTAGTCTTATTTAATAAGATTCTCTTCAAAAGTTATATTCCAGCCAAACTAGATTACTGCGTATTTCTGAAACTGACATTCCCTTTCTTTTTTTTTTTAATAAACTATCTATTTTTAGTTTTCAACATTCACTTCCATAAAATTTCAAGTTTTAATTTTTCTCCCCCTCTCTTCCCAAAACAGCATGCAATTTGATACAGGCTCTACTTATACATTAATATTAAGCATATTTTCACATTAGTCATGATGTAAAGAAGAATTAGAACCAATGGGAGTAATCACAAAAAAGAAGAATCAAAACAAAACAACAAAAGAAAAGGAGAACAAATAGTATGCTATCATCTGTATTCAGATTCCATAGTTCTTTCTCTAGATGTGGATAGCTTTTTCCATTGTGAGTCTCCCTTTCTTTTTTTAATTAAATTTTATTTTTTTCAATTAACAATAAAAAAACTTTTTCAAAACCTTTCTTATTAGGAAAGTTTCCTTCCTAATAAGGAAATACAGAAGTCTTTTTTTTTCTTAGTCCCTCCTCCTATGGGGAAAAAACAACAAAAGTCTCTTATAACAAATAAGCAGAATCAAACACAGATCCCCATATTGGCCACTGACAGTCTCTTTTCCAACTCTGTGAGTCTGAACAATACATCTCCATATCTGGAATTTACCTTCTCCTTCTACTTCTTTGCACGCTTCTTGGTCTTCAAGGCTCAGCTCAAGTGCCATCACCTCCGTGAAGCCTTTCCCTATCTCCAATTGTTAATACTCTTGACTCCTCTGGGTGTGCCACTGACACCCTTTTTTGAGGGGAACAAGCCACTATTTTGCCTCCACATCCCAACAGCTTCGAACAATGTCTTGTATTTAAGTAGGAGCTTAAACAAATTAATTTGCTTTAGCTTAACTTTAATAACAACAAAACCAATTATAAACATTTGAATTTAAATAAGTAGAATTTTGGTGTAGCTAAAAGAAAACTGCCGTTGGAGTTAGAGGATCCAAGACTCATCTCTCTTTTTTGATACTTACTACCTAAGAATTCGGGGCAGCTGGGCCAGGAGTCAGGAAGACCTGGGTTCAAATGTGGCCTCAGACACTTCCTAGCTGTGTGACCCTGGGCAGTCACTTAAGCCTCTTTGCTTCAGTTTCCTCATCTATAAAAATGAACTGGACAAGGAAATGGCAAACCATTCCAGTATCTTTGCAAGAAAACCCCAAATGGGGTCACGAAGAGTCAGACATGACTGACCAACCAGTTGCCAAGTCCTGTCATTTCTACCTTCTTAACATCTTTCCTACATGTTCTCTTCTCTCAGCTCCCACAGCCATAACAGGACGTTATTACTTCTCAGACTATTTCAATAGGCTTCTAACTGGTCTCCCTACCTTCATGTCTCTTTCTACTCCAATCCCTCCTTCACTTAGCTACAAAGTAGGCACTTAATACATGGTATGATGTTTGTTAACTAACTGGATTCAAATCCCGCAGTGGAAATCACTGTCCTGTGTAAACAGAAAATTTTAGGAGATGATCTTTTAAAGTCCCTTTCAGTTCTAAGATCCTATGATCGCTAGGTCTCAGTTTCTTTTGTAAAATGGGAATAACAATCTTGCACTACTTCCCTCATAGGGTTATTATGGAAAGTGCTTTTTATGACCTTAAAGTACGATACAAATGTGACTTGCTATTATATTTTTTCCATTATCCTGTCCAGTCAGCAGGCAGAGGGAGTCAGAAGCAGAACGCAAGACGGAACCAGAAGTCCCGGGATTAGAAGGAAAGATAGACCAAAAAAAAAAAAAAGCAGAACAAAGAAGGAAAGACGCAAAGAATGGAGGCTGCTGGGGGCTCCAACCCAAAGGGTTACTATTTCCACGCAGGAAGAGCAAACTTCTTGGTCACACTTGTGCGGAGTACCAGAGTAACGCCTCTCCAGGTAGACCAATTACCAAATTACATTTCCCCTCCCGCCCCCATCACTTCCTGTTCCCATTCGAGGCATCCTGGAGCTTTTCAGCGGTTATCTTCCGGTTTAATGCTCCAGTTCCCGGCCGCCCCGCCCTCGCCCCGGACCTTCTTCCTGTAGCCGAGATTTGTGGTGTTCTCGCGAGAGCTCTCCCTCTTCCTAGGCCGGCGCTCATCGAGGTGGGTGAGCGATCTGCTGCTTCCCGGGCCTAGGTCTGCTCTCCAGGCTGTTACTTCCTTGAATATCGCTCCGAAGTCGGCGTTAAAGCGGCGGGGCCGTCTGCTGGGATGGGGATACGACGGATTGTCCTGTTCGGGGTCGCGGATGGCCTCGGCGGGAGACTTTGCAGGCCGGTGGCGCCCACGGTTGGGGGTTGGGCGCTCGCGCGCGGAACAGCCGCGTCCTGACCGCCTGGCGTCCCGCGTGGCGGCAAGGGGGGGAAGGGGCCTGGGTCAGCTCGGGCACCGGGAGGGAGGGGGCCGCACACACGTCTCACAGGCGTTCTGTGTTGTGCTTCACAGGCGGTGCCATGTTCAGCTCCAGCGCCAAGATTGTGAAGCCCAATGGCGAGAAGCCAGACGAGTTCGAGTCTGGCATTTCACAGGTGGGTCCATTTGGGGTCCCTGACAGGTGACTTCCTCGCCCACAAGTGAGGGTTCCTCTCTCCTTGGGACATAGGATCATAGGATATAGAGCTTGCATATTAACCCGATTTACAGAAAACGAAACTCAGAAATAGGGGGGCAAGCGGAGATCTGAACAGGCTCTGTTTCCCAGTACCTAGAACAATGTTATTCTAGTACCTGCTGGACTGATTCCAAATCCAGTGCATTTTCCTCTGTACTGCTGACAGCTGAGGCTCAGAAGAGGGAAAAAAGTTAAGATCATAAGATTTAGAATTAGAAGGTGCAAGCATTTAAGCTTCTATGTGCCAACCTACTTAAGGGAGTTGCTCCACTTAGGGAATCACAGAGAAAGTCCATGCCCTCAAGGAATTCCCAATTTAATGGGGGACACGAGGTACAAACAAAATATGTAGACAGAGGATAGATTGGAGATAGTTACTGAGGGAACTAATAGCTTTAAGGGGGGAGTGGGTATGGCATCTTGGAGAAATGTTTGATTTGAGCTGATACTTGAAGCAAAGGACCTTACAGATGCAAAACTCCTCGTTTTACAGCTAAGGAAACTGAGGCTGGGGGGGCGCAGGTAATAGGTATCCAGGAATGCTTAAGCCAGATTCTATCTACAAACCGAGGGTCTTAGCTGGTAATTATCAGGACATGTAGAGCTGGTTTCTGTGGGGAAGGAGAGGGAAAGGAAAACTCTGAGGGCTAATACCTTGACCCACATTCTGCTTGTATTAAATTGGTACACAGGTCGTGGTAGCTTTTTGGTGTTTTGAAAAGGGAAGGGGAATCCTTGTTTTGCAGACTCTCCTACCTTGTAGCAAAATACTGAGATTTATATTTAATAATTTCCCAATTTTTTTTCAGGCTCTATTGGAGTTGGAGATGAACTCTGACTTAAAGGCTCAATTAAGAGAGCTGAATATCACAGCAGCTAAGGTAAAGAAACTCTTAATTTTGGTCTTGGTTTGGGGGTGTGTGGATGATGATGAATATATATGTTTGTTCCAAAGAGTAACTAGAGCTGTTTTACTACTAAATCACTTACTAGGGTATGACTTAAAAAATTTTGTCAGCTTTTTTCATGAGGTAGAACTATATCAGAAAGGATGGAATATATCCAGATTCTAGGAAATGGAGGGTTGGTGTTGAAAACTCATGGGTTCTAGCAAGAAAATTAAAAATTGTCCGTTTTGAATGAGTGTAAATCTCAAAGATAGCTTTTGGTTAGTTTTTCTAGGTCTTTTTTGTTTGGGTTTTTTTTCTTTGTTACATTGTGCAAGTGAATTCTACCCAGGTTGGGTGGAATGGTAATAAAGAGCTGGAAGAGGAGAGGGTTTGGGAGCCAATCAAAATGCAAACCCTCCCCTCTTCCAGTTCTTACCATCAAGAGACTACCACCTCTTCTCAGTCACCCAGGCTGGAAAACCTAAGGGTCATGCTTGATTCCTTGGTTTCTCACCCCTATGTCCAATTTGTTGGCAAGGCCTGTTGGTTAACCTTGTTACATCTCTCTTATACTACCCCTTCCCTCCTCTGACATGGCCATTATCCTGGTACAGATACTTGGACTACTGTAGTAGCCTGCTGGTTGGTCTCCCTGTCACAATTCTTTTCCCACCCCACTCAAATCCCTCTACATGTCTGACCTCCTCAGTGGTCTGCTCATTAAACTCCATTGACTTCCAGTCATCTTCATTCTCCAATATAAAATCCTGTTTGTTGTTCAGAATCCTTTATAACTTGATTGTCCCCTCACCTTTGCAGTCTTCTTACATCCCTCCCCACCAGGTACTCTTCAATCTTCTGGTGACACTGGCCTCCCTGCTGTTCACCTGAATTCATTTCACAACTCCCATGCCTGAATTGTTCTCCCTCCTAGCTTCTATGACTTCCTACAGGTTCCAGCTAAAACTGTACCTTCTACAAGAAGCTTTTCTTGATCCTCCTAATTCTTGTGCCTTCCCTCTGTTGATTATTTCAAATTAATCCTGAACGTAGTTTGTACATAGTTATTTTGCATGTTATTTCATTTGGTTAGACTGAGGTCCTTGAGAACAAGGATGTCTTTTGCCTTTATATCCCTAGCACTTCAGTTGTTATAGGCTCTTGCCTAATAAATGTTTAGAAATATTTTGGGAAGAGAACATCCACAGTATACATAGATTTAGCAATTTTACTGCCACATGTAGCTATAACTGGTAGCATGTTATGTGCATGTCAAATAATCTCTGACAGTTGGATTCAAAGGTTTTTGGTTGGATCTACCAGACTTTGGAAACTTGTCACATGTTAGTGGCAGAGAAAAGATAATATGGAAACTTAAGCATGTTGCCATAAAAATGAATGTTGGTGTTAGAAATGAGTTTAGAAATCATGTAGATCGGGTTCTTAACAGGAGGCTGTGAACTCGGGTGAGGGGATGGTGAGATTTTATCCTTGTTTGAATAATATATAATGATGATGGTTTCCTTTGTAATTCTGTGTTCTTCAATCCATATAAAAGCATAAAAATGCATTAAGAACATGACATCTGAAAATAACTGACATTTTTATAGCACTTTGTGTAACACTATGTAGTATTTTACTATTTTTTCCTCATAACAACCCTTTCAAGTTAAGTATTGTGGTTAGTATCCCCATTTTACTGGTCTGTGGAAACGGGTCAGAATTCAAGTGATTTGCTCATCATTGCACGAATATTTTAAATGGAGATCTATCCTGACTCCAAGTCCAGCTCTTTCTTTACATCATGCCAACTCTTATAAAAAGTGAAAATAAACGCCCACTTATAAAGTTAATTTTCATTCATTCCACAGTGGGTAAATGGGCAAAAGATAAAACCAGATTGCTCTTGAAAGAAGAAATGGTGTTATTATCCTAGGTAGAAAGAGTTCAATTTTGTTAATAATCAGAGATGCGTATTAAAACAATTTTGAAATAAAGTGAGTTTTTATTCATTGCTGGTAGAGTTGTAAACTAGTAGAATGTATTTGGGAAAGATCTTGCAGTATGCAATCAAACCCAATAGATCATTTTGGGGACTATACCCTTAAAATATTATCAAGAACTGCTCTTCCCTTCCTCTATCTAGTAATAAGTCTTATCTCTTCAAAAATTGTGATAGCATTATTTGTTATTTTAAAAATATGGAAGCCACCTAAATGTCCAATAAGGGAATGGCTAAATAAATTATGAAGGGAATGATATCATGTAGTTAAGATAGAGAAGTGTGAAATACATAAAGAAAAAACAGACCTATGAAATAATGGCAAGTGAAGAAATTGTGAGCTAGAATAATACATGCTTACTAACCATATGTTAGAGTAAAAGGGAATTGACGGTAAATGGACAGAGAATTCTTTTGGTGTGCTTGAACAAATGAAAAAAGTTATTTTTTGGATGAAATTGATTTGTTTGACTAAGTAGTTGCAAAGGAAGTTTGGTTGGTTGTGTTAATATTTAATACTTTACGATGGAAATGTATTTTTTCCTCTTTTAGTTCAGGTACTGTAGTTTGCCACCTAGGCAACTGAATAAGTTTTAATTTGAAAGGTGGTAAATCATGTGTGGTGAACAGTATTTTATTCTGCAGTGCTGATTTTTTGAATCAAAGGAGTGAGTTGATAAATTAGTTGCATGACTGAATTGTTTTCATTCTCAGGAAATGAAGTTGGTGGTGGCAGAAAAGCTATCATCATCTTTGTTCCAGTTCCTCAGCTAAAATCTTTTCAGAAGATTCAAGTACGACTAGTTCGTGAATTGGAAAAAATTCAGTGGCAAACATGTGGTCTTTATTGCTCAGGTAAATACTGTCATGTTAGATCTTTAAAATTTTCTAGGGAGGTTGATTTTGAGGGATAATAATTTTAAAATGGGACCATTTAAACATGTGAGAGAACGCATTCTAGATTGTGTAGGGGAGAGTCATTTGCACATTTGAGTTATCTCTGAAATATGATTAAAATATCTCAGAATCTTTGAAAAGAGCTTAAGAGACAGAAATAGCATTGACTAAAAATTGCTTTTATTAGACAAGCTAGGAGAAAAAGTCAAAAAAGTTTTGAAGATGTTATAGACTATTTAAAGAATTCTGAGGCTATTCTTTGAAAAGGACTGGTCCCTGTGGGTGGTGAAGAATGTTATTTTGGAAATGATTAAATAGAAATATGTGGTGTGTTTGAAGCCTTGGTTTTCTTTAAAAGATC